TTAAAATCGAAACAGATATAAATGTTAAATTTTTTTTTATCAAATACGATTTTAATTTAAATCCGTCATGATCGGGGTTTTCTAATGTTTTAAGGTGTCAAGGAAGAAAGCTCCAACTAAAAGAATACATTTTTAGATTGAACATTCTTTGCACCGGAACATCACACAGGAGAAATGAGGAGGAGACAAACACAGGTCATTTGCGCAAACACCCCCCCCTTCCCCCGCGAAAAAAACAACAACACAAAACCTGTCAATTACGTAGTTTTTCATATTCCTGAAAATGCAAATAGTTCTAAAATTAGTCAAAGGTAGGAACCGATGCCACACTAGTCCAGTGGTTACGCTGCTGAACAAACCCAACAATAACACACTTGTGTCGTTTAAAGAATAGTCCAACAACTTCAACTAATTTAGGATTAACTAACTTAAAATCTAGCTCAGACTCAAAGCATTTATTTGTTTCATTTTAGTGCTTATATATATATATATATATATAGATAAATAGATATATATATAGATATATATAGAGATAGATAGATATATATAGAGATATATAGATATATATAGATTTATATATAGATATATATATATATATAGATAGATATATATACACACACATTTCCTAGCGCCATGTCCAACATCCCCAATGCACCGCAGATGTGTTAGAAGCCTTCCGTGACTTGTGCAAATAGTAGCTGTGACCAAGGCCTGGGTAGATCATTAACGCGGTGGATCGCAAGCACCGCGAAGAGCAAGCGTGGCTTGTGTTGATGGGAACATGCGATACGAGGCTACGGAAGGGGTTCCGGAAACACCTCACCCCCCCACATCCCCACAGTACACACATTTTGTCGATAGAAGCCTTCCGTGACTTGTGCAAATAGTAGCGGTGACCAAGGCCTGGGTAGATCATTAACGCGGGGGATCGCAAGCACCGCGAAGAGCAAGCGTGGCTTGTGTTGATGGGAACATGCGATACGAGGCTACGGAAGGGGTTCCGGAAACACCCCCCCCCCCCACATCCCCACAGTACACACATTTTGTCGTGACCTCAATCCAAAACAAATCACGCCACTTTTCAGTCAACAGTGTCGATGTTGTATGCAAGATAGACAAAAAGATCTCCTGGTTCCTTAGCGCCTGGTTTCTTAAGCACTGGTATTATGCCGACGGTTTAGAAAGGCGAGCGGAGATGACGTGGAGAGAAGCCTGCAAAGAAATCTGGAGATGGCTTTCGTTGGTGCCACTAAGTCACCACATCAATAGTTGAAGGAGGTGACATAGAGAGAAGAATGTACATAGAGATGGCTTTCGTTGGTGCCACTAAGTCACCAAACCAATAGTTGGAGGCAGGGCCGGTCCCAACAATTGCGGGGGCCCTATGCGAAACGGATTGCGCGGGGCCCAGTCTGGGTAGGGATAAGGATAATAAGTGAAAATAAAATTTTGTATTAGAAAGTGGGGCCTATGAAAGTGCGGGACCCACTGCGGCCGCATAGGTTGCAGTGGCCTAAGGCCGACCCTGGTTGGAGGAGATGACATAGAGGGAAGCATCCAAATAGAGATGGCTTTCGTTGGTGCCACTATGTCACCAAACCAATAGTTGGAGGAGATGACACAGAGAGAAGCATGCAAATAGAGATGGCTTTCGTTGGTACCACCAAGTCACCACACCAATAGTTGGAGGAGAGCGCTACTGAACATAGAAACTGTAGACTTTAAAACGTTTCCTTGAAAAGACATGTTTTTAAAGTCATGATAAATGGGGTCGGGGTGTAAATAAGTGGGGGGGGGGGGACTAGTAAACAGCAGCTAATGTTCCGATAAAGAGGAGGAAATGAAGTGCAACGGGGACAGTCAACCAGGTGTGCCAAAGTTACATACCGGTACTGTCAATTCTATGCAAGGTATGTAGATGTCATTAAGACCAGCCATACCTGTTCCTGGTGTGGGGGCAGTGGCGATGGTGGGAACTTGGCTTGGGTAGCCGGGGACGGCGTGGCATTCTGGATGCTGTAAGTTTTTACGATATATTCTTTGCTCAGTACGGCCTCCTGGCACGCCGCCTCTGGCGGGTCACTGTCCACCGCGTTGGTTTGAGATTCTTGGTCGACAAACGACCGGTCTTGCGACTGACCCCTACTCTCGGAATGTTCCACGTGTTGGCATCCTTTGCTGCTGTGCGTGCTGCGCCGGGGCGTGCTGCGTCTGACGCTCGTTCTCGGCGTCGAGGGCAATATCTTACAGTCCACCACTTCCATTTTGTCCTGCAGCCTTGCCAGCGACGAGCAGCTGCCCGACCTGCTGCCGCTGCCGGCCCCGTGGTGGACACCGGTCCGGGACGTGTCGAACAGCGGCTCCTGGCATTTGTCCAGGGGCTCGCTGTCGCACACGCTGAGCATGGCCTCATCCTCGGGGCGTTTCTTGGAGCAGGTTCTCAGGGCGTTCCGCAGGTTTTGCGCACATCTGGAAACGACATTGCCCATGTTCCGGGATCATATACGTTCACCCTAAGTATTCCGTTACCGCGGCACTGAACAAGAGTGGGGCACTATAGTACCGTACGAATGAAATACACGACGTCCACAAGAACAATTAACGTGGATACTTCTCTAATCCTGCAAAGCAGCTACGATGAACATAGCTACAGCGACTGCATTAGAAAGTGAATTCCCGTAAGTATTTCCACAAGAAATAAGAGTTACGAAAGACGCCTGTGTATGCTAGCAATGTATAAAATAAGCCTGCATTATAAGATTCTTAGACCACAAAACTTTACACTAGCTAGTGTTTACAAAATTCTACAGCGGCTATATATATTTAGTTTGACTGCGATGAACTCTTCTGCAATTCGATCTCTTGTATCATTCCTCTCACCAACCTGCACTAAAGGTGAACGCTATCCAGCAG